AATGTGATGTGGCCAAAGGCCTGGCCTTCATTGAAATCCACATCTACCCTGTCACACAAGGGCACTCGTGCAATGTGGCCGAGTGTCACGCTCCCATTCTGCACTGTCACGGATCGATTCACATTGGGGATGTTGATAAGACCGATGCGAGGTCGAAACTGCTGTCCAGTCCACCCTGGATGAGAACAACTTTTGGGAAAGCAAAGCTATGTGAAATTGAATGGAAACGTCAACTCATCTCATATGATTGTGGGAAAATTCTTCTTCTATCCGTCCTTAATCACCTTAAACGAAATTGGGTGAATACATCTCATAACTGATTTACTGTTAGTCTCGAAATTCTACTTACATACGAAAAATAACATACGTTACTTTTGTGTTTTAATTACTTTGAGCGATCACTGATGGTTCCGACATATACGAACACATGAAGGCACAAGACACACCAGACAGACATACTTACATGCTTCGAGGTTAACATATAACTTGAACCAACCTATTCATTTTGTATCTAATTAAAGAGCTTAGATTGAGGGTATGCACACAACATTTAGGGATATGCTAGTGAGTGTTCTTGACTCGTCGGCTTAAATATGGTTGTAAGGATTATACCATGTTCTGCTGACGTCCGCCATATGACAGAATAAAGCTCAGCATATGAGTTGTGTTCACCCTATTTCGCTTACGGTGATGAAGGACTGGTAGTTGAATTCTCCCACAATGAATTGAGAAAACCTGACGTTTCCATTGAATTTCACATCGCCTTGCTTTCCCAAAATGTGTTCTCATCTTAGCTGGAGTGGACTGCAGTTTCAAGCTCGCTTAGGTCTTATCAACACTCCCAGCGGGAGTCGAACCATGACAGTGCAGAGTGTAAGCTCGACATGTTAACCACTCCGCCACATTGCCACGAATGCCCTTGGGTTAGAGGGCATTTTCCATTTCAAATGCTGTGTTTGGATCGTCGATGAAGCAAACTTATATTTGCTATAGCAATAGACGACATCACTTTTTTGTTATTGAGTATGTTTTAGAGACTACCATTAAATCAGATAAATGAGTTGAGAAATGACTTGACCTTCTTGTTTATTTTTGCTGAACCTTTAATAGTTATTTTGATTTGTTTTTACCTAGCAGAATCATTTATCTGTAAGATTCATTGTAATTTGTCTAGTAACAATAGGTTTCATGGCGCCTATACTGAGTTTAGCTAAATATTGTCAAAAAAGTTGATAATGATGATTAGACTGGCGTGATGATTGCCCCAGTTACAGTCCGTAGTCTCGAGAGACTTTTACAAGAATAGATTATAAAATTCCCTAATAAGTTGGCTTGGGACGGTTTGCGAGGCGCATGATGAATCAGGGGCCGATCAGTTAACACGAGATAGAGTGAAAAGGGGCGATTATGAGTGTACATGCATTTTATTCGCAAGGTCAAGTTGTCTGGTCTACTTGGAAATTCCGTGCATACCAAGAATCATGTACAAATTAAACGGTACCTTTCGAGGCTTCTTCAATTTCCTGCTCGGCCAATAACTGCAATGCTTTTTTGGCATGCGGCTGAGCCAGCTTCAGAATGAAAGGATCAATGGCATCATCCGTCTGACTGTCAATGAGGCTGGTCAGTTGGCCTTCAGCGATTAAATTCAAGGTGTCGATCTGAATAAGATCGAAGCATACACACTTGCCCAGAAGACCATCAAAAGCGTCGTGCAGTTTTTCCTTTACAACCTCTTTCTCCTTATCGGCCCCAGTGGTCGAGTCTCCGAATGACGTTTGTTTTTTAGCCTGCGAGTCCTTAGGCGACAAACGACTAAGAATAAATGCCACCTCTTCAGAAGTCGGCGCTATGGGACTTAATTCCGTGAGATATGCATCATAGGTCTCGTACAGTTTGGAGAAGAAGCTTAGCAATTGCATCTCGCTCGAAGGAGATCGAATCATTTCATCAGAGGAGGTTATCTTCTCGATCGAAGAAAACGACAAGGAATACAGCAGATCTTCTTGAAGAATCTCTCTGGCAAATAGGGGTGACAAAAGGAATGGAATGGCGGTTCATTATGCTCAAAACTGTATTCCATTTTGCTAGGAAGTTGTTTCATTCTTAGACATACAATTATACT